GGTATAACGGAATAACACTGGACTTGTCGAGGTGGCCTCCAGCTTCGTCACTTTCTTGTCTCGTACCCTCTAATATCCAATCTGAACTGCACTTCTGTTTTGTCCTGAGTCACTATGTTTCCCTCCTGGAACCCAAGTACGGTGACTGGAATTACAGACCCACCCCATTATGTCGACACCAACCTCCATGGAGAGTGACATTGGGGTGGTGCAGAAGTGGGTTTTGGACAGTTGTAGTACTTGGAGAGGAAAGATTTTGTTTATCTCTTTTGATCTCAAAGTTGTTACCGTTCCATTACCTGTTATCCTAATGTCCTATATGATTGCGGGGTTGTTTGAAAATCTTGACACATTTCCTAAAGCCACGCCCCTACTGTTGGTGCCCTTTGATCCCATTCCGCTCGGGGTTTATTCCCTTCGCTCGCAGCCCACTTGAACAATCAACCGATAGATTTCTCATAGAATGAAGATCTAACTTGACTCTAAGGACAAGGCAACTCAAAATGGGTGTTAGGTTTGAGTTTGGAGGGTTTGGGGGTGGAGAGAGGGAGAAGGAAGGAGGAAGATTTGGAGGAGTGTAGAGAGGTATAGGTGAGAGATTTTAGGTGTAGTATGGCTTGAGTGGGGTGAGGAAGGGAGTGGGTTTGTAGAGGTGTGTTTTGGACGCAACAATGGAGGAAATTGAGGCAATGGAGTCATGGCTGTGTGATTGGAACTGTGAGAGAGAGAGAGAGAGAGAGAGAGAGAGAGAGAGAGAGAGAGAGGAGTAGGAAGGGATTAGTTGGTGACATCATGTCAACATGGTCACATGACATCATCGTTATATTCAATATTTACATATTTACTCCCGTATCAGCGCAGGCCGAATCAATCCAATAATTAACGAGCCATTTTTGCCTTGAATTAAAGAAAATGCAGTCCAACATTTATTTTGTTTTTAGATGTTGCATTTGTAAATGTCTTATATGTAAAATTTTTATTTTTCAGACACTAATTATGGTGTTTCATATTTATAATATGATCAATTCTGCCATTAAAATGATATTATTCTATGGTAGCAGTTGGTCAAATTGAAAAGCTTGAAACTAAAAATTGTTTTTTGAAAAATAAAAATCCCACTTCTCATTTTTTGGACTTGAAAAACCCTAATTCTGAAGACGTTGATTCCAGTTCCAATGCACAAGAACATGAATGCAATTCTGGCCAAATATCAATGGAGCATAAAGAAAGACATGCTGGACATGCCCTGCTAATACAAAGTGGGACTCTTTATGAACAAATAATGTACTAACAACACAATAGTGCACTTGAAATGGAAGATTTATCGGCACCCAATGCAACTATTTGGACTTTGAGCAGCTTCTCTCCGCCAATTTCTTGCAAATCCCTTAACTATCGACTCCATATAATTCGTAAATTTCCTCCATAGTCCCTTATTTATCGAAATTCTAAGCACATGTCACCATCTGTAAAGAGACAACCCTAGAAGTGCTCAGGCCAAATGCCCAAAAGAATCCCATAGTTGCCCCTTTTGCCAAGTTACACTACTGTGCCACACACCATATTACCTGTTTCTTAGAGCAATTAATCAAATGCATTCCTTCCTTTCTAAAAAAGTTAAATAAACACAAAATAAATTACATGCTGCTGGTTAATGACCAATTTTATTTTTGTTCGTAATATAGATTATGATCAATTAGTTGGAAACTATAACGATGGGGGCAAAAATGAATGTAAATACAAATCTAGAGGCACTACAAGCACCTCAGTTACAACAAACTTCCCGCTGTGTATCATTTTCTATCAACGAACAAATTGTGACGTTCCTCTTCAAATATCCCCAGGACCATTGATCAGCTGAACATCAAACAAAGTCCATTCAAGTTAAAAATGTGACAGATACCTGCTTAAAAGAATTTACTAATAAAATCGGGTGAAGTTTCAGATTTTACCTTATTTTGCAGCACTACTCCATCAGGAACTACTATTTTCATCCCAGGTCTTGCAACAATACTAACTTTACCCTAAAAAAATGAAGCACCAGAGGAGAAAAGAGGGGGGTGGGGGAGTTTAAGAAACAGTTCGATGTCAAAACAAAATCAGTAAACTTAAATAAATTTGGTCAGCATATAGATTAATTAGATAGATCTTTTTCGGAAGTACAGAAAAGTCAATTGTTAGCTATATAGAGCATAACTGCCCATAACATAGACAATAGTAGACAAGTAACACATCTGTAAAGGAATGTAATAATCATGCATTAGGAGAATGTTGAGTACCTTGAGAGTTATGCCAGTTCCAAACCAAACATCACCAGCCACCTTCAAGCTATCAAGCTCAATAATGCTAGGGATGGACTTGAAACGACTATGGAAATCACTAACCTGAGGAAGAAACAATCAAACTAGGGGTAAGGTTGCCTACCACTTAGCTCTCCTAGAACCCGCCATAGGTTTTAGGCTTGTGCCCCGAGGACAACCTTTTTATGGGACAAGATAAATTAAAACATAATAGGGGCAAAGAAACTCCCACCTTTTCAAATTCAGGTCCTAATACAATAGAAGGATTGATAGGATTGGCTCTAGCACTGTTTCTGCTTAGAGTGCCTTCACTGAGTGTGAAAAGATCTGACTGCATGCATTTAATGTGTTGAATATTTTTGCATTAACAATTCAAAGCATAAAACTGCAGTGAAGATGGGCTCTAGTGTCACCTGGAGAAGTAATAAATCAGATGTTGCCTTCACTGGAAGATATCGAGAATGGGGAACGCTTATACCAATAGCGCGGTCAAAGAACTGGGTCAAATGTAAAGGTGACGATGACAATAAGAACGAGAAATATTGTATAGTACACAACACATGACAAATTTGACGTATTTAAACATGTACTGAATTAACTGTTTGTTCATCGTAAGGGATATTATTAGCATTAAATAGCATCAAATTGCGGGAGACAGCATGAACCTTGCCAATCCTTTGTCCATTCAACTTCAGAATCCAATTCCTCAGTAAAGAGAAAGCAATGGTACCTTTGACATAGGATATTTCTCCTTCTTCAGGGCAATTCTTTCTAAAAGCTGTTCAATGGACTTCATGCTCATCCACCTGTGTAAAGTTGGTATATTAATCTCGAGTTGAAGTATGACTGCAAGTTACTGGACAATTTTGCAACAGCAATACTCACATTTTGTCAGTAAGTTTCAAATTCCCCTTCGACTTCAAATTACCGACCATGATAAAACATGAAGGAACATATATCAGTTATCTGGACAAAAATCTAATGCTAAAAGTGTTAAACAGATGGTGGAAATAATTTAAAGAAAATATATGGAAAAAGTAAGGGAGGAAAGGAAAATCACAGCTTAAATGCTAAGCAGACAATCATCCAATTTCCATAGGCTGCATTGTTATGTTTAATAACATAGTCCAGGATGCATTAGTTGTAGCGTTTATCAGATGATACGCATGAAATGATAGATAGAAGAGGTGAGAGATTCAAACCATATCATGGCTTCGCGAGAGAGTATCAGGCAATAAGTTGTATCCAACAACTTGGCCAAGTCAGTTGAGACTTCTACGAGTTAACCAACGGTCGAGTGAGACCCATGGGTTTTATAGAATGTAAAACTGTTTCGGAATGCAAATTGCCGAGTCGGATACAACTTAGTTGATTCATTGAACCATGATTGTCATACAATATAGCATAAAAGTAATGCATCACAAGTACAATTTGCATCTGAGATTTTTAGATCTGGAAAATTATTAGAGTGGGTTTCTTTCCAGGAAGTTAATGGTTTTCTAGAGTAAGAACAATATTGAATTCCCAACACAGATATATTACTACTGCTTGTAAACAAATATCTTTTAGAATGAAATATCTGTAATCTAATGATTGCTTGTCTTGTTATTTTTTTTGGTTTGTTTTTACATTTTCAAATAGGTTTAATCAAAGTCAATGGTTCCCACCACTAAGAATCAAATAATGGTCTGCCAGTTGATGAACCAGTGACAGAGCAATCTGGTCCATACTCCAATTTCATCAGAAGATTCTGTATTAAGTTTGTTTTTTTGATAAGAAACAAAATATTTAGTTAATAATAATTGATTGTACAACATAGTAAAAGAGGATGGACAAGAAGTCCATGCCTCCCACAACAAAAAGCCAAAAAAAAAAAAATGTGAGCAAAGACATGAAACGAAGACTGTAAATTCCTATAGTAAAAGTCGACATACCGTTTAACCAAGAAAAGTATGAGATAAGACAAACAAGCAGGGGATGGTGAGGTTTAATGTAATAAGGATGTACCTTTTGATAACAAATGGATAGGAATGCATTTATCACTACCGAGCCAAACTTAATTTGTTGACCATAAGCACGAAGCAAAATACAAACATTCAAAGTGCTAACAATCTTGTAACTAAAGTTGAGGTTGTAATACCTAAAATTTGGGATTATGTGCGGGAGTTTGTTGGAGTGTGTACTGGAAGAAACATTCCAAAACTAATAATCACGTTGGGAAACTTAAGATGTGCAAAACAGAATTATGAAACTGGTGACATGATTGAAACCTACCTATCACCTATTCACCCATTTGCTGATGATCCTACATAGATTTGTATTATAGCTTATTTATTTATTCAAGAGAAAAAAGAAACAAAGAAACAAAGAACGAACATGCATCCTTGAAGCCTTTTACTGCTCAAACAGGAAAAAAGTAGATTATGTCATAGATGAATTCAAATTGTAAGCAAACCAGATTAAACTGGCTGAGGAGGTAATTCAAACATAACCTCCTAGTCCATCAGTTGTTTTACTATTTGCCACCTCTGCCAATGATCAAACCAGTCGTCATTAGTTTTAGGGATGCCTATCTGTGTTGAGAAGGAATTACTTCCCACTTCATTGCCCATTCTCAACATTGGACAAAAAATATGCACAACAGAGTAGTCGGGTCAGAGACTTATACAATTACCAATACAGAGAATTGACTCACTCCATTGAGAGATGGTTCAATAACTGAGAATAAATGCTAGCTCATATGTTCAGGCTTATCCATGGGCTCACAAGTTTTGTTTTACGGTTCTAGACATAAACTTATGTTTCAGAACTTTTTGCAATACCAATAGCTTGAGGACATTACCGTTAAGCTTCAAATATATTCTGATGTTAACCTTACCTAAATTACTCCAGGAAGAATAGAGGCGATACTTGAATCCCTTGAACCAAAAAAAACATGGAACTACGACAGTAATGACACCAGAATGTGCTAAAATTGGACGTAGCACCAACCTGAAAATTCTCTTTGCCGGATTGAAGGTCACTTTCTTCTGGATTAGATAATGAGGTGGGTATTACCTGAAAAATTACAAATAATTAGAAAATATTGGAGAGCAAAGAGCAAAGTAAGTAGCAGTCCTGTTCATGTACCTCCATGCAGTACTCAATATTGCTTTGGATCAAATGATTTAAGATTTCTAAGACTTTCATTAAGGAGCTCAATTATGATGGATTGGCTTTTAACGATACACAATATAGTGATAAGTATNAAAAGTCGACATACCGTTTAACCAAGAAAAGTATGAGATAAGACAAACAAGCAGGGGATGGTGAGGTTTAATGTAATAAGGATGTACCTTTTGATAACAAATGGATAGGAATGCATTTATCACTACCGAGCCAAACTTAATTTGTTGACCATAAGCACGAAGCAAAATACAAACATTCAAAGTGCTAACAATCTTGTAACTAAAGTTGAGGTTGTAATACCTAAAATTTGGGATTATGTGCGGGAGTTTGTTGGAGTGTGTACTGGAAGAAACATTCCAAAACTAATAATCACGTTGGGAAACTTAAGATGTGCAAAACAGAATTATGAAACTGGTGACATGATTGAAACCTACCTATCACCTATTCACCCATTTGCTGATGATCCTACATAGATTTGTATTATAGCTTATTTATTTATTCAAGAGAAAAAAGAAACAAAGAAACAAAGAACGAACATGCATCCTTGAAGCCTTTTACTGCTCAAACAGGAAAAAAGTAGATTATGTCATAGATGAATTCAAATTGTAAGCAAACCAGATTAAACTGGCTGAGGAGGTAATTCAAACATAACCTCCTAGTCCATCAGTTGTTTTACTATTTGCCACCTCTGCCAATGATCAAACCAGTCGTCATTAGTTTTAGGGATGCCTATCTGTGTTGAGAAGGAATTACTTCCCACTTCATTGCCCATTCTCAACATTGGACAAAAAATATGCACAACAGAGTAGTCGGGTCAGAGACTTATACAATTACCAATACAGAGAATTGACTCACTCCATTGAGAGATGGTTCAATAACTGAGAATAAATGCTAGCTCATATGTTCAGGCTTATCCATGGGCTCACAAGTTTTGTTTTACGGTTCTAGACATAAACTTATGTTTCAGAACTTTTTGCAATACCAATAGCTTGAGGACATTACCGTTAAGCTTCAAATATATTCTGATGTTAACCTTACCTAAATTACTCCAGGAAGAATAGAGGCGATACTTGAATCCCTTGAACCAAAAAAAACATGGAACTACGACAGTAATGACACCAGAATGTGCTAAAATTGGACGTAGCACCAACCTGAAAATTCTCTTTGCCGGATTGAAGGTCACTTTCTTCTGGATTAGATAATGAGGTGGGTATTACCTGAAAAATTACAAATAATTAGAAAATATTGGAGAGCAAAGAGCAAAGTAAGTAGCAGTCCTGTTCATGTACCTCCATGCAGTACTCAATATTGCTTTGGATCAAATGATTTAAGATTTCTAAGACTTTCATTAAGGAGCTCAATTATGATGGATTGGCTTTTAACGATACACAATATAGTGATAAGTATAAATGTTATGAAGTCCCAAGGGCAGGTAAAACTACAAATATTGGCAAATGAATTATTGCAAAACAAGGATACTTGGGTCAACAGCATCAGAAATATTGTCGGGATTCAGCACAAGCATATATTCCTTACCCTGGAAAGCAAGTTGAAGAGGTTAGTAGAAATACCGATAAGGTCATGTCAAATCTCCTTCCCCAACCAACAGTGGTCAGGAACAGCACAAAAACACATTGGTCTCCAATTGTCCAAAAAACATGGAATGAGTCTGGATTTGTATTACAAATGGCACAAAAACTTCTACCTGTGACAATAATACATCAAGTTTTCCACTGTGCTTCAAGGAAAGGAACACATCACCATAGTCGGCAGGATACCTTAACATGTGCAATATTCAAATTAGATGACAAAGATATGAGATTATCAAGGCAATCACACCACATGCATATCAAGACAGAAGAACACAAGTTAACAACCAAATACCTACTTTTATTATAACAATTGGAATCTAGTACCAAAAAGGGCACATAATTTGCCTTTAAAGTTCCAAGCAACATAAAGAAACACAGAGCAAAGAATAACACAAAAAGGTGATCAGAAATCACTAACAATGCCAGCTACTATTTGTGAAATACAGAAAGCAAACAGCATGGCTGACACAACACAAAGTAATTTAGTAACCCAAAAAATAAAAGCTAAATTCTACGCCACCTAAAAAAAATAAAAAAAGAAATCTAATTTAAACATAGAAGCAATTTTAAATACAGAAAATGACATAAAAGCACAGGAAGAAGAGCAGATAAATCCAGATGAGGGCATACATTTCATCCTCGCTGTACTGTCCTTCAAATGGAAGCGGCACAAAATCTTGGATATCTACGCCATGATGTTGGCCCTGTATCAACCACGTTAGGTTTTACAAAATAAACATTATAAATTATGGCTTTCACGACAAAGGCCAGAATTAGAACCTATTGTACCAATACATTGAGCATTAGGAATACAAACCTGGATAAAAGTATAAATACTTTTATTTGAGTGTTTCTCTAAAACCTAAAATAAACAAGCAGCAATAATTAATTTGCAGCAACAACTGATTTCAGAGTCAAAATGGAAATGGAAAGATCAGTCACCTTCAGGGTATCACCATGTGTCTTGACCGTGTTCATCAAAAGCAGGGGAATATTGCATCCATACTTAGAATTAAGAGACTACAAACAATTACAGAGTTGCAAAATTAGAACTAAGACATTGCAAATGAGTAAACAGTTGGATTGTGAAACTCAATATAAAGCAACTAAACAGAAAAGTAGACAAAGAAAAGACAAAGAAATGACCTCAATATGATTAACAATCAAGTCCAGACATGTTAACCCATTACAAACTTCAACAGCAGACCTGCATAAGAAAATAAAAATTAACAAATATATGACATACCTAGCACTTGGTATAAGTCTCAAGAATCCACCTCATGGGAAAAATGGCTAAAGAAGGGTTATGTGAAGTTAAACTTACCCATTCACCAGTGACACCTAATTCTTAAGGACATCATTTTAGAACATGTCAACTTTTTGTCCACAGTAATATAGATATTCTAATTAGTTTCCAGGGTTGACAAAAGAAGTAAGTTTTGATGCCAATTTTATCCCATACCAGGATAGCAAACTAGACCGCAAATTTTTACACAATTATTTTAAAAAATAATTATGTTCTAGTTATAGAACAACATTTTTAGCTATAGGCATTGCCTTGCAAGCTCCACAAGAGAAATTAAACTGGAAAAAAATCTGCTCAACAAGAAATAAATGGGTTCATTTAAGTTTAGGCAATAGTTTACAACTTAACCAATCAAAGGCTAGAATGTCTTGTGCTCCGTTCTAGCGCATCACATTAGGCATGATAAAGGAGGTGAAAGGTAAAATCAGATTCAGATTAGCAAACATGAATACAATTCCAACTGAAGCAAGAGATTTATCAATATGATTAGCCACCAAATGATGATGACAAAAGAGTTCAGACTAGACTGTCAACAGCACCTGGTAGCAAATTTATACTTATAAAGAATACATCGGAGGCCATCAAGGCCTGACAATTTTTTTTTTGACAGAAGTAGATTCTAACAAACAAACCTTACTAAAATCTACCGGAGATAAAAAGAGTAAAATAAAACAGGTATTCCAACAGTTCATGACAGTATGAAGAGAGCTCACTAATGGTTACAGATATTGAGTGATTTAAGCAAACCATTATCTAGCACTGGCTTAGCCTAGAACAAATACCAGATCAATAATCATTAATCCCCCAAAAAAATAAAATAAAAAAAACACCTTTCCTTAGAAAAGTATACAATTAATGCATTTTGTACAACTCTCCCCTGTCTCACAGGTATCTCTAAGACCATAACTGATTTGGAACCGAAAGTTAAAAAAAAAACATTAAACTGCTACTTCTTACATTGTTTTGAGATAAGCAAATAGCATTCCCCCTAAATGCAGAAAAGTAATACCCCACCTTCAGTCAACTCTATAGAAATGTAACATACCAACCTTTAGTCATCTCTATACGTTATTGCAGCACAATCATTGAGTCCAAAGATTCCTCATGCGAAGTCTTTATGACATACAATCCAAAGTCATATTAAAATCAATAAACATGCATAAACGAACACCAGCCAATCCAGTCAGGCAAACGAGAGAGTATGAATTCCATAATGTGAACAAAGTATTATATGTATAGACATTGTAATTATAAAACTCATTGAGACATCCTCTAGTCTGCATATAATGTAATCAATGGACATAGCAGCTGCTTCAAGCCTTCAACTATGTAAGACAATTGGTAAAATTCCTGGAATAGAGAAATGCTTACTTGGGTCCATTAAACCCCCATTTTGTCCCCAAACTACCGTTGTACTTTAACACAACAAGTTTGTCCAAAAGATTTTTGATTTCCACGGAGTCTGCATTGGTAGAAAACATTAAACAAAGAGAGAGCAATTTGATAAAATAACTAGAAGCAATCCAATGATTATGCCTTCAACTATACAAACCCAAAAAGGATCAATAAGGAGTAAATAAACAAAGCACCTAGGAGTCATATTGTTACCATCTGTCATAGGCACTAAGCTTTCATACGGAAGCACATATATTTTATCCCTTGACTTGTTGGTCTTGCTTTGTTCTATCTGTTGAACGTCCTCTCTTCCATGCATATTTCATCCAAACCCAAAATCAGAAATAATCATTTCAAATATAATTATTGCACGACCAATTTTATTAGGAGGTTTATACATAACTCAAAATATTGAACCACACTAGATGCATACATCCATAAAATGTATTCTACAGCTATTAATAGGTAAAAACAATTAGTAGAGACATGAAACACAACTTGGTACTGTGAATAAGGTTACTATTCTTAACAAAATTGCCACTGCTAAGGGAAACAGATTAACAAATGTAGAATTTCCACTTATTCAAAGCTTGGTATGTAATTTGATAAGTTCAGTATTCGACAACTCTATATCAACGTATGGCACTAGTAATGCCCAATAATTTGAAGGTTAAATGAACAATGAAACACAATCATACCGAATTTCTGCTTTTGTTGCAATAGCAGTTGCCCCCATTGCCCCGCCAAACCTCTTCCGTTCATAAAGAAAAGTCTTGGTAATCAAATTACAAAACAGATACACAAACTGCACTGAATCATTAGCCGGAACCGGGTACGTAATTCTCTTATACGTATCCCACGGCATACTCGAATCCACCAAACCAACTATCGGAATCTGCAGCCTATCCGCCTCCAAGATCACCGAAGACTTCCTCTCAGTGTCAAAAATCACCACACAATCCGGCGGCTCCACCGCACCCAGATTCAATTTCTTATTCCGTCCCCTAAATTTCTTCGGGCTCGAAGAATTGGACAAAAAACCTCCGAGTTTCCAAGAATTATCGATTTTGCAGCCGATTCTATAGGTCATCTGATCAAGAATTTCGTCGAACAGTGAGTTGGTGTTCACGAAGAGGAATTTACCCTTTGCGCGGACGAGGTTTCCGATGAACTGGCAGGCGTTTCGAAGGCAGATCAGGGTTTTGTCGGAGTCGATTATGGTCATTGCGTTTCGGGCTCCGCAGGAGTAGATTTTGAAGTGGTGCGCCGCCACACGCCGCCCCAAGTGGGCGTTTGTACTCAACAGTTTCTGGATCACAACCGAGTGTATCGTCATTGTGAAATGGTTAGAGTTGAAACTTGGAGTGGGAAAAAAAAGCTTGGTTCTGCTAATTTTCTCTTTGGTTGTGCTGCATTTCAACTGTTTGATCAAAATCCTCTATGAGTTACGCAATGGAGATATGGGTTAGGACTCTGCGTGTGAGTGTGTGTGCGCGAGCGCGGAGGGAATTGAGGAGGGTTTAAGCGGCGAAGAAGGCAGTGAATTTACAAGTGAGCAGAGTCCTCTCTCTGTTTTCGGAAAAAAGATTCATTGCAACCACTAACCAATAATATATAAATAAATAAGAAAGTAAATTTCACATAAATCAATAATTACATATCTATGCAATCAAATAATTATCAAAAAAAAATTTCAAGTAAATTAATAATTATTCAATCGTAATTTATTTTATCCATTTGTAATTTTATTATTAGTTGTTGACATTGTATCACCGTTGTATTGAATATTTTTTCTGTTGTGGATCATTGTAATTTAAAGATTAAATTTTTTACATTAGACTTCAATATATTAAAAATATTATAATATGGTCTTTTTGTTATTTATTTTGTAGAAATTCATCTTATTAACGTTGACGGAATGAAAAATAAAAATTACTAAAAAGACATGTTTATTTTGAGGGGAAGGATGGGTGAGATTGAAATCTTATTTCTAATCCTCTCTAACCCCGTGGGTACAAAAGATATAATTTAATGTTTTTTCTGATTCTATTTAAGGGTGTTAATTGAGCTGAACTTTTGTGAGTTTGAGCATGAGTCTATCATGTTCGTTTTTTTAAATGAGCCTAAAAAAATATTTAAGTTCGGCTTGTTTCAAAAATAAGCTGAGTTCGAGTTCGAATCAATCCTAATAACTTGAATATTTTACATATAAATGAGTCGAACTTTATAAGTTTTGAGCCGATTATTTTTAGGCTCTTTTTTTTTTAAATGAGTCTGAAAAATTGTTCAACCTAAGCTTGTTTAGAACATAAGTTGAGCTCAAGCGAGTGCTATCCAAGTCAAGCCCGAGTAACTCGTCTCGATCAACACCCCTAATTTTATGTCATGTTTGGCTTGTAATTTTTTCAATGCATGTGAGTCCCACATAAAAATAATGATTGCATTTAATAATTAATTTAAGAAAAATTTGGAGGCCGATCCCTCTATATAGACTTGTTTGAAGTTAAATTCGTCAAAAAAACTTATTTGTTATGAAGTCTGTTTTTTATTAATTTTACCATATTATCCTTTTTATTTAGAAGCGAAATAAAACTTCTAAATTTTAGGAGTTTGACTAATATTAAAATATTTTCTCTCTCATATCTATTTATATCCATATATATATACATTAAAAATAAAAAATAGTAATATTTAAATACAAATAAAAATTATCATTTGGATACAAAAAATAATATATTGAAACAAAAAAAAATAGTAACATTTAAATATAAAAAAAATTGAAACATTCAATATTAATATTTTTAAAAAATAACAACAGTAATATGTTCAACAAAAATAGTAACATACTTAACAAAAGCTGTAACATACTTAACAATAATTATTTCTCTCAAATTCAAAAGCAAAAAATAGTACCATTTAAATACAAAAAATAGTAATATTCAAAAAAAAATAGTAACATTGAATATTAATATTTAGGAAAATAATATTAGTAACATAGTCAACAAAAACAGTATCATGCTAAAAAATAATATTACATGAACAGTAACATACTCAACAAAAACAGTAACATGAACAATAATATAATAAAAAAAATAGTGACATAAATTTGAATTTTACTATTTAAATTCATAATAATTTTTTTTTGCATTTGAATGTAACTTTTTTTTTTAATGTTACTATATATATATATATATATATATATATATATATATAACTATGAGAGAGAAAAGATTAACTTCTTTTCAAAAAAGGATGGACTTAAGTCATTAGATATAATTTTAAACATGAACTTAGTCCCTTATAAATTTTCTTGCATGACTTATTTTCAAACAAATACATTTAGGGGGACTCATTTACAATTTTTACTTAATTTAAATACCCTCCGGTAGGTTTAGATTATTAGACGTTTGAACAACCAATGTTATAATTTAATTTTTGTGTGGTCCGTAAAACAAAAATAAAGATTTTATTTTATATTAAGTGGCTTTAATGCTCTTATCTTGAAGTTGAACATTAGATATTAGAAGGGTTAATCCTATAATTTATTAATCTAATTACCATATATTAGTTTTCTTTCTTATTTTAATTTTATATGTCCATTAATTGTATTATATTCACGTTGTCATGTATAATTACATGTACCAAAGGCTTGTTTGGATAGATTTTTTAAGAGTGTTCAAATTGATTTCTTCAAATCTTTCCAAACATAAACCTTTATTTATAAAGATGAGATTCAACATTGAATATGATCCATACCCATATTTAAAATAACTCATACACATGTAAGATCCACGATATATCATAATTATTAACAATTATTTATCCTATAAATAACCATTTTGTCCTTAATCAATTCAATTTATACTTATGTTAAGGAGTACAATTGTTTTTTACATCTTTAACCCCTTAATCCATCTTTTCAAACCTAATCTCCCTTAGGTTTGATGAAATCTATGATCGTGGGTAGGGGGTGTTAATCGTGTCGGGTTAAATGATTACATGTCGGGTTAAACGAATGACGAGTGAAAATCATGCAAACTCATACACGAACTGTTTAATAAACGGATAACACAATACGACTCGTTTAACCCGTTTAATTTTAAACAAGTTGTGTTTGGGTAGAGTCGAGTTAACACGGTAAACTACCAGTTATAGTCATTTAATTGTTTGTTTTAAAATGTTATATAACTTTATAAAACTAACAATTTTAGATTATTTATATATTTTTTGTGAATGTCACTAAAAAAATATATATTGGCTAATTTTTTAAAATAATCATTAATTTATTATTATATTAATTTTATTTAAACGAGTAATAAACAGGTTAGCAAGTCTCATATAAACAAGACCCGTTTATTAAACATATTTGACAGGTCAACCCGTTTATTACCCAAATCGTTAAAGTTTTACCAAAATCAACTTAATTCTTGTTGATTCGCGTTGATTAATTGTGTTGTGTTGGACTTTGACAGTCCAAATAATAAGTTTAATATTCCGGCCAGCTACAGGTTAGGTTTGACAATCCAAAATTGAATTTTTAATCCAAACATAAGGTTCGAGGGTTTTTTAAACTATTTTTCTTAAATATATCTTACCAAGCTCTCATATCCGCTTACCGTACAGTTCCAAAAATTTAAAATTAGGGCTTTTTTGTTCAAATCAAACCCAAGTCCCCAGGCGTTCAAAAATCGACCGAGATGTTGACAAAACAAAGTAACAAATTTATGAGTCTACTATTATTCCTAGTGTCAAATGAATGGAAAAAAAAAAAAGCATATTTTTTCATGTCAAAATCGAGCCATTATTACTTAATACTAAATCGACCCTTTTATTTTCTATATTTGCAAATAGTATCATTTTCGTACTCCTCTAGAGCTAATTATCTCTAATCCATTAGTTTCGGGCGGATTCGAACCGTGTTAGCATATCATGTCTAAAATCCACATCCCTACCCCTAACTTTAGGACTTGACTGTGGTATCATCAAAAAAATTTTGGTACCATATCTCTAAAATTTACTACTTCAAATAGTGTTTTAAAACTTTTGTGGGTCATTTTATAATTAAAAAATTTATTATTTTTGTGGGTGTTTTTCTCACTGTTGTGAGTATTTTTTATTTTTACCACTTTTCTTCTGTACACAAAAAATTACCACTTTTGTGGGTATTTTCACCACATTTGTGGATGTTTTTATCACTGTTGTGATAATTATTTTTACCATCTTTTTGAATACCACAACAGTGATAAAAACATCAACAAATCTAATAAAAATAACCACAAATATGATAAATAGATATCTGATACCGAAAAAAATAAAAATCCGGTACAGTAGTTAAAACTCCCTAAGTTTAACATAGTAAGATTAAAAAATCGAACATAATTACTGTAATCATCCTAGGATGGTGCTTTGCTTGAAGATAACTTCACAAGACTGACAAGGGTCGCATACGCAAAGGTATACATGAAGAGAAGCATGGGTTTCTTGCTAGGGCAATGCAAGATAGAACATATATGATGTAATTCTTAACTAATTATCTTGGAAAGTTAGCTTCAACTGTAACGGAAATGGGTTGGATGAGTTGAGAGTTTAATTAAATTTCATCACAAGTTTTAAAACTTTCAATCTCGATCGGGTTTTAATCTAAGCCTTTCAATTAAGTACTACTTATTTTGAATGTTATTGACTTGGATTGAACTCGGGTTACGTAACTTAGCCTGTGACTCGGGTTCAATTGAATTCAATTTGCATGCTAAAACTTGAGTTCATTCTTTTATGAACTCGACTATGTTCGAACTCATATTAAGTAATATTATTATAGATTCCTTAATGTTATACAACATATATAGGAACCAACATTGGCCTTGAGTATGGATTTGAACTTGAGTTTAAGTTTCAACACAAGCTTGAACTTGGTTCTTTTCATTAGGTGAATTGACCCAATTCCAAGCTCAATTCACGATGGTTGTGGTCAAGTTTGTTCTGTTTCATATAAAATATCTTAGATTCGATATTTTCTATATTCTTAAATAGTCAGTTATCTTTATTCTTCAAGAGACATATCTTTAAATTAGTTCGGGTTACGGTGGCCGGTCTTAGAGTTCGAAAGAGTAGTCGGCGCAAATTTAAATATCCTGTAACAAAAAAAAAAAAAACTCAATTCATGATTTTGAATCAATCTCGAATAATATTTTTGAATAAACGACCTCAGCCCGTGCAGTTTAGTATTAATTTGGTTTGGTTCATTTGCACCCTTAGTTAGATCCACAACTTTGCATANAGTCCGAGTTAGAGTAATCACCCAAATTTTAGTTGGAGAAATGAAAACTCCATTCCTCATGGTTCAAGTGCATATGCATCTCCCATGCCTCCCAAGCAAAACCAATACCATGGCCAAGGGCAAGCATCTAGCTCTCAATACCCCCGGACCAATCCATAAGGGTATTTGTCAAACCCACCACCACATAATTTTTCACCAAATCCACAACCACAAAGTTTTTTTCAAGGACCATCCAATCCATCCACATACCAACCTCCTCACAAAAGGAATTTGGAGGATATGGTTCATTCCTTCATTCAAAGCCAAACCACTATCAATAACCAAAATGACACAGCCATCAATGATATAAGAACCCAACTCACAAAGTTGACAAACTCCATAGGGGCATCTCAACAAGAAAAGGGGAAGTTCNAGACCCTTCCGGGGAAGGAACTCTGAAGCAGCCAATTGATTACACTCTAGTTTGGAGTAGTGAGTCATTGAAAATCAAGCAAGATGGCCATGGTTATATTTGGCTACCAACACCACCTGATGGTTATAAGGGCATTGGTCATGTTGTCACGAGCTCTCCTCAGAAGCCTTCCCTTGATAAAATTCGGTGTGTTCGTGCTGATTTTACTGATGAAAATGTAAATGATGCGTGGATTTGGGGCCCGACGAAGGAGATCAATGCAAATGGGTTCAATGTTTATGCCTCAAAACCAACAAAAATTGGGACACAAGATTTAAGTGTCTCTGCAGGTACATTTATAGCCCAAAATGGTAAAATTGCTTCTCTTCCTTGTTTGAAGAATGTCAAACAAAATTTAACTGCTATGCCTAATCTAAGCCAAATTCAGGCATTGATTCAAGTTTACTCTCCATGGATTTACCTCCACCCTGATGAACAATACCTTCCCTCTTCTGTAAGCTGGTTTTTCAAAAATGGGGCATTGCTTTATCGAAAAGGCCAAGAATCGAACCCAGTTTCCATTGACCCTACAGGCTCAAGTCTTCCCCAAGGTGGTTCAAATGATGGTGCTTATTGGTTAGACCTCCCAATTGAAGCATCAGCCAAAGAGAGAGTTAAAAAGGGAGATCTTCAAGATGCTGGGGTCTATATGCACATAAAACCTGTACTAGGTGCAACATTCACAGACATAGCTACATGGGTATTTTACCCTTTTAATGGGCCAGCAAGGGCAAAAGTAGAATTCATTAATATTTCCTTAGGAAAAATAGGTGAACATGTAGGTGATTGGGAACATGTGACATTAAGGATCAGCAATTTCAATGGGGAGCTAAAAAGTGTCTATTTTTCACAGCATAGTAAGGGAATATGGGTGAGTGCCTCAGAGCTTGAGTTCCAAAATGGTAACAAACCGGTGACTTATGCATCGTTGCATGGCCATGCCTTTTACCCCAAACCAGGGCTGGTTTTGCAGGGCAATGGAGCGATAGGGATAAGGAATGATACCGCGAAAAGCAAGATGGAGATGGACACTGGGGTGAGGCATTTGGTGATTGCTGCAGAGCACTTGGGATCAGAGATTGTTGAGCCACCATGGTTAAACTATGCTAGAGAATGGGGACCAAAGATAAGCTATAACATTGATGAACAGATCAAGAAGGTGGAGAAACTGTTGCCTGGGAAGCTTAAAACCGCATTTGAGAAGTTGGTGAAGAGTCTTCCTGACGAGGTGTTGGGTGAGGAAGGGCCTACTGGCCCCAAATGGAAAGCTAATTGGAGTGGGGATGAGAGGGTCTGATTGTAAAACGCGACATAATGTTCGAGACTCTCGTTGTAACGGTATATGGAGAAGTTCAAATGTATGCACTTCTAATTTATTCTATTTTATAAAAATATATTTTGCTGAATATTTTATTCATCTTGTGATTTTGCATTTATTCTCAACAATGTGCCATTAATAAATCATTTTAGACACTAGTTCTACTAGAGGTGTTGATCGAGACATGTTATTCGGGTTTAACTCGCATAGGACTCGATTCGAGCTCGACTCGTATTCTAAACGAGTTGAACTTGAATAATTTTTTAAGCTCGTTAAAAAAAACGAGTTCGACAAGCTCGAACTCAAACTTGTAAAACTCGAATCAATTAATACCCTTAACTGGTTAATATTGATTTAATTAATCTACATTTAAATACTTGAGACCTTACTAGTAAATGCTCCAGACATGCCATGTTGTTAAGGGACCACAACATAGGATTTTGTGAAGGGGCATAAGAGGATTTTTTGAATGGGTTTTAAGGGGTCGGTACTATTTTTAGAAATTATAGGATAAAAAGTATTACTTTTAAAAATATAGGTCAAAAAGTACACAACCCCTAACAAATCTCTAAAATACCCTCTTCAGTAGAATGTGAACCGATTCCTATATTTTTGCTTCCACAACCGAAATTTAAGAGATCTCAACAGTTACACATAAATTCCTTCAATATCGCCGAAAACCCCATTCTTCCAAAAACTTCAATAAAACCTCATTTTGGGTGTTCAAAACTTTCTGTTAATCGTTGTTGAAGAAATGATCTTTTCAAAACTTCACTATCCAAATCTTCACCTTTGTAGCAGAAGGATGAGAGTGGTTATAAATTTTTTTAGTAACGAAAAATCAACTCAATCACACGATTTTGGATATGAATTGAAATCCGATTCATTAATATCTCTTGGTTACATTAAAGGGCAAAATGGTTTCAGTAAATGGTCCATCTAGGTGAGAACAATTTAGATAAGGGTTTGAATGGGAGTGGTTGTAACAGAAGGATGGGAGTGGTTGAATTTTTGGAAAAGAAGTTGATAATTCAAGAAAAATGTTGTTTCTCCTAACGTTTTTATTTTATTTGCTTTTTTTTTTCCCTCAATTACCTTTCTACTTCTAGTGCTTGGTACTACATGCACACCAAGTATTCGATCATTTACCAAAATAAAAACAAAAGAGGCTATATACATTGTGATATACGTCTTGTCAATATATGCAGTTTGATATTGATTTGTAACAATGTGACTTTGGTTTCTAGCAGTGTGAATTTGGTTTGTAACACTGCGATTTTTGTTAGTACCATTGTAATATTGTCTTGTAGTACTGTGACATTAATATGCGAAGTAGTAAATCATCTTTCGAATCAGAATCATCATCTTGATTATTACGATCATCCTCATTTGAGTCATCATCATTGACATTTATCCTCACATGAACGTGATTGATATTAAGAGATCGTAATGATTTTTTTTTAAAAAAAAAAAACATATGGACGACATTGTGGCAGTGTGAATTTGATTGTAGCAGTGTGACATTTTCTAATGCTAGTGTGACATTGTCTTGTAACATTGTAAAATTATCGTGCGAGACAGCAAATCATCATTCGAATTAGAATCGTCATCTTGATTATTACGATTTATAAAAAAATAAATTATACAAATATGAAAAAGACATGAATGTTTGAATAAAAATGAATGTTTGAATAACTTAAGTTGAATGAAAGAGAAAGATATAATTTAAAATTCAAAAATGATATTCCATAAATTTAGGAAATTGAATCTCTAATATAACTGTCATATTTGTTTCCCACTAATAAAGGAAAAGAGCAATTTCGTAAGAGAAAAAATTACAACTCAGCAAAAGTGTACCTCTTCACCAAACATTTACACATAAATGTACTTATACACAAATATTTTATATTGAGGTACTTTTACACAAATAAGTAAGATAAAATGTACTTTTTTACAATTTTCTCTTTTTGAATTGTCCACTTGGCAATGGGCCGGTCCGTTTTTCAACATGGTGGACATTCATGGGTCACCCCAATCCCCGTGGGGAGGCCTTGGTTTATGCAGTAGGCCTGGCCCATAAGGTTGCCAAATTGCAAAAACTCAAAAGTTTTTTTTTGAATAGTGGAGTTCTTTTTGATATTATCTTTTATTTCTTATTACCAAAAAAAAAAAAAATCTCAAGCCCTCAAACTTTAATTTCAACTAATAAAAGTAGCAATTTTGTACCTAATTNTCCAATAACAATTGTACATTTTATCATGTAGAGTTAACTAGATCTTGCTACATGGTGATTTCTAATTCGTTGATGATATCATATGATAATAATCATGTGGTATATTGCACGTATTTAATATTTTCTCCAATATTTGAGCCGTAGACATTTCAGCCAACTAGCTAGGTGGACAAAGAAAAAAAAGAACAAAAACAAAGAGAGAAAATTGATTAGATTATCAAACTTTATGACAATTATTCGCCTTCTAGACAATCCTCCAATATAGAAAAATAATTTGNAAAATGGAAAAAATAACGATTCTTTTATGGCCAATAGGCACATCATGAATATCAAATTCATTGTATCTTACTTAATGTTGTTGTCATAGTTGAGGCTCAACNTTATGACAATTATTCGCCTTCTAGACAATCCTCCAACATAGAAAAATAATTTGATCATCAGGCTTGTTACAACCGAGAAAAGGGGAGATGTTAATGATATCACCGTTTTATTGAATATTTTGTTAAGAGGGAGAAGATGTCAGATTGATGGGCATGAATGTCTTTACCTATCTGTTGTGCGTGAAAGTCTGCCTTGGACTAGACCAAGGAGGGAATTAGTAAATGTGCACGTAAGTTGACCCAAACATTCCCCGACAACAGTTCCCCAAAAAAAAAAAGGTTTTCTATAGTTTCTAGATATCAAGTTAACTTAAAAAAAAAAAAACAATGAAATATTCAAGATTTATATCATCCAAAGGACAGAAAACTTAAACTTATGAAAACCAAAACAATATTGTGACCAACCAGACACCAAACTGACCTAAGTTGCAACNTGAACATAATCGGGTCTTTATTTGGTGCATAAGAACCCACACCCACAAAACCACAAAAGTAAAAGTGTGATGCCAAACCCAAAATCCAAAAATATTATATAACTACTATAATTTTTTTTTTTTTCTAAATTCTAAAATAATAAATTGAAAAGAGAAAATTGTGAATGAAGAGATTGAAAAAAAAAAAAGAAAAAAGAAATACAAATCCTGTGCACCGCAAAGCTTATAATTTTTTGGCTTTGAAACCTTGATGAATTAATTCATTAGATTTACCCGTGTAATCTTAATCCTTGACATGAATGTACATTCTTGCAAGAGTAAACTCTGAATAGCTGTAATTACTTACAAATCACAAGTATCAGTTCAGTTTCAGAGACACTAACGAGGGTGGAATCTCTAACGTTCGGGTCTACGGTTCGTCCAGGTCCAACATCACACCGATGGACTATCCATGTGAGTTAAAACCCATAGAGTTCATGGGCAACATTTGGAGGAAATATTAAAAGCAACGGTAATACGATCTTATTATTGTCACGTGGTTATACTAAATAATCAAAACAACATAAGTTTAGTGAAGTACACTTAATGTGCTAACCACTTATAACTAGACTAGATCCAATAACAATTGTACATTTTATCATGTAGAGTTAACTAGATCTTGCTACATGGTGATTTCTAATTCGTTGATGATATCATATGATAATAATCATGTGGTATATTGCACGTATTTAATATTTTCTCCAATATTTGAGCCGTAGACATTTCAGCCAACTAGCTAGGTGGACAAAGAAAAAAAAGAACAAAAACAAAGAGAGAAAATTGATTAGATTATCAAACTTTATGACAATTATTCGCCTTCTAGACAATCCTCCAATATAGAAAAATAATTTGATCATCAGGCTTGTTACAACCGAGAAAAGGGGAGATGTTAATGATATCACCGTTTTATTGAATATTTTGTTAAGAGGGAGAAGATGTCAGATTGATGGGCATGAATGTCTTTACCTATCTGTTGTGCGTGAAAGTCTGCCTTGGACTAGACCAAGGAGGGAATTAGTAAATGTGCACGTAAGTTGACCCAAACATTCCCCGACAACAGTTCCCCAAAAAAAAAAAGGTTTTCTATAGTTTCTAGATATCAAGTTAACTTAAAAAAAAAAAAACAATGAAATATTCAAGATTTATATCATCCAAAGGACAGAAAACTTAAACTTATGAAAACCAAAACAATATTGTGACCAACCAGACACCAAACTGACCTAAGTTGCAACTAATTCATTAAAATGGAAGATATGAATACTTAATAGATTTAGATGAGTGCTGAAACAATGGTTCACCCACCTCCTTCAGTCCTTGCCTTTGCCTATCTCTTGTGCTGTTGTTATCATAATATTCCTTTATCCTTAGTGCCTCGTGTTGTATACGGATCGTTGTTATCGTTGAATCGTGCTGTCGCAAGTTATTCAGTTATGCATGATTGATTTGGATCGTTGTTATCGTTGAATCGTGCTGTCGCAAGTTATTCAGTTATGCATGATTAATTTGTAGTCTCACGCGATATTATTCTTTTGTATGATATTATTCTTGTTTTTGTATGATTTCATGAGGACACCTTTATAATTTTATACTAACACAACTTCTAGCTTAGCAATTTGTTGCTTAATAATTGTATATTACCATACGCATATAAGGGCCAATGACACTTTTGATACAGAAAAACTTTCATATTTTCAATTTATACCCTAAAAATTAAAATACTTCGCTTGCACCCTCAATAACATAAAAATGTATCAATGTGATATTTTTTAATAAAATAGAGTACAAAATTTTCATGTAAAATATTTAAAGCTGTATAGAAATAGAAAAATATAGAGATTAAAACGCAAAAAAATTATTAGACAAAGCAACAAAATTTTGGTTTTGGAACCACATTTTTACTTTTTTTTTTTGATTGAGGGTTTAGTCTTTGAATTCTAATATTTCAGGGTGTAAATTAGGAATTTGAACATCTTTAAGGGTGTAAAGTACTATTAACCACAGATATAATAGAAAGTTCTATAGATGATGATCTTTATTTTCCTTTCCAGTTTTCTGATAATAGTCGTAGACGAAGAAGGAGAAGAGGAGCTATCTGAAATCTGAATATAAAGGCTTCATTGGCTGGCTTTTGCAAAAAATAATCCATGAAGGAATTGACTTTTTCAAAGGAACAAAATGTAATTAAAAGGTGAAACATGTTCTTTAACTTTTGTTTATGGATTGAAAAAATTATACTTTGACCCCCTCAATTATGACATTTTTCTCAATTACTATATTTTTTACATTGTACCTTCAACTATGCGATTAGTTTCACAGTATCTCAATTATTAACATCTATTATATTTTTAACGGAAATTTGTTTCGTTTTGTCCTTTGAACTATATAATTTTTTCACTTTGTCCCAACGCATCAGCAATTTCAATTCAAAAAGATAGTGGGTTATTTCTGATGGGGCAATGTGAAACAATTTGAGTAGCTGAGGGAATAATTTAAAACTTTTGACAATTTAAGGGACAAAATAAAATTGAATTCATAGTTTAGAGCATCAAAGTGTAATTTACCCTTATGGATTGTCACCAATCTCTTGCTGATTTTTGATGAGACCCAAGCTAACTAGGCTGCACAATATCCCCCATTTTTTTCTTTCTTTTTTTCGTAACCGGAATTATCTCAACCATATATGCCCTCTAAATTCATAACTGCAATCAAACACACCAATATAAACCACCACCCGCAACTCAAGCACATGTCTTAAAACTTTTACGCTATTAAGAACTCAAATTTAGAATGTCGAGTTTAGGACTAGTTTTATTTTTTCAATCACTAAATCAACTTGTGCAGGTTTGTCCTTTTATTATTGGGTATATAAAGACAAATGGTAGCATAAAAGCTAGGACAATGCTAGGATTAGGAGGAGAAGTTCATTTATCACCTAACCAAATTTATAGAGGAAAGTGAATTAGGTCACCCAACTCCTAGCTCTCTGTGGTAAAAATATTGAAGTTCATTGAAGTCATTCAATCAACCTCTAAACCAACTCTATATGTGTGCTTCATTAAGCAACTAAATTGTAAAGTATTTAAAGATTCCCATTGCATTATCCTTTTTGTGACAAATGGGGAAAATAGTTTGGATTAGCTCAACTAGTTTTCTATTAGCAAGAAAATAAATTAAAACTTCAAAAATACCTTAGATAATGAAAATTACAAACAAGTTTACATATTTTTACCTTAGTTGTAGCTCATACTTGAAGGCACGATACAACATAAAATTCGGGTGACTAAAAAATCGATACCACTCTATATCAAATTACAATTTTTTTTTCATTCCTTTTTTTAATTACATAATTTAAAATTAATTTTTACCCATTATTTTTTTAAAGAAAATCGATAAAATTTTCTTAAAATACATGATCTTGAAAAAATATCAATATGTGTACACTATCGTATATGGACAATGTATGAAATAAAAATTATATTGAATTATAAATTAGTAAAAAAATTAAATAATTTAACTAGTGATAAAAATTGATAGGATAAATATAATATTCAAACTCCTAGCTTCTGCTAAAAAAAAGAAAGAAAGAAAGAAAGCACATACTAAATTCCAAGATCCTGCCAAGTAGAATAATACTAAATTCAACACCCTCAAAAATTTTTTTTGATCAAATACCATTTTACCCCAAATTTTTTTACAAATTTAACTTTACCACTTGGATTAGAAGTCTTTCTTTGGACCTTCAATTCCTTTAAACAATAAAGATGTATCTAAATTAGGTAGGAAAACTAAACAGGACACATTGATATTCTTTTGAGAAATTTAAAATGATATGTGAGACTTTTTATTTTTTAAGGGGGCAAAAAGAAAAGTTTTAAAGTTATGATTAAAGTGCCCTTACTTGACATATCCGTTTAGGTCGTCCTTAACTCTCACGTGGTTATTAAGTATGATTCAATGCACGAAAACAACACAATTTGTTACTTAACTTTGTAATATTGTGGTGACGAAGTGCCCTTCCAAATTAATACCTATACCTCAAATCGAACATTAGGGAATTCTCATGGCCACTCTAAGAGATTATTACCTACTGGCCAGTTCTCCAAACAACAAAAAAGTGCCCTTACCTTCCCCTCATGGAAAAAAAAAAAGAGCAGTTTTCTTTTTAAGAATAAAAATATGGTCAAAAGCTGCCTATGTATCTAACCATAAATGTTGAGCATATCGCGGCAAATCAGATAAAACTTCTCGGGGTTCCAAGTCTCGCCACAAGGAAGCTACAAATCAGCTCACCATCCTCCTTCTCTCTCTCTCTCTCTCTCTCTCTCGGCTTTTTGTAGAGCAGGCCGGCATAGAAGAAATATATTTTTTTTCTTGGTTTTCATTCGGTGGAATTTGCCTAAAAAGTAGAACACCGTGTTCTTTGTTTTTGGTCTGCTCTGTGGCATTTCTCGAGAAAATTAATGGAGGTCCAACGTGGTGCCGAAATGAGGCGAATTCACATCATTTATTTTATCAGCCGAAGGGGTCGTATCGAGCATCCACATCTTGTTCGGGTCCATCATCTCTCTCGCAATGGCGTTCGCCTACGAGGTTCGTTAAATTTAATTTTAGGATACAAATAGTAATCTCGTGCACTTAGTCGCATTTTTATATGTACAACTCTCGGTGTGTGTGTACTTTTTGTTTGTGTTTGGGCTAATGAGGTTTGGTTTTTGCCATTAGATGTTAAGCGATGGCTTTCAGAATTGAGAGGGAACGACATGCCAGAATCATTTACTTGGTCATACAAGAGGTAGTCAGATACATTCAATCTACAAGATTAAATTTACTATAGAATTTGTTAGACATTTCAGTATTCAATGACACCACAACAACTACATGATATTCTTCATTTTTAAATGGGATTTTTAGGGGTGCTATTCAATCCGAGTTCCTCGAGCTCAGTTCGAATAGAACTCGATATGAATTCTAAGTTTGAACAATTTTTTAGACTCGGCTCGGGTTCAGTCCGAGTTTGGGTTCGTTTAAAGAATTTTTTAGACTTGTTTATTAAAATATACTCAATAAATTCAGGCTCAAACTCACTAAATTCGGCTAAATTAACCCTCTTAGAGATTTCTTAGTACAAAATTGTTTGTATGTCATTGCAAAGTTGGTTTTCATCAATAATTCTTTGAGGAAGGTTGAATGAGAAGGTAGGTGTAGTACCTCGTGATCTCAAGTTTGAGGTCTCCACTTCCCCCAATAAGTTTGCCTTGGCAAGTGATTGTGAGCATTGTGTTGAATCTCGGGTTTAAATTATTTGTGATTAAGTCGATTTTTTGTTAATCGGAATTTTTTTTTTTCACAACTTGAAAGTGGTACGATAAATTATAAAATGTTATATTAAAATTAATCATCATTTTCAATTAATCTTGATTACAGGAAGTACAAGACAGGGTATGTATGGCAAGACTTGCTGGATGAGGATCTAATTACTCCAATCTCGGACAGTGAATACGTCCTCAAAGGATCCGAAATTACCTCCACCACCTCCTTTAACAATGGTAAATAATTTTTTTTCTTTTTAGTCAAACAATCAATTTACTTGATTTATTCCACCGCTATTATTATGATAATGTTAAATCATTTGATTCATATTTCTGGTCTCTTTTATTTTGTCGGTCTAATATTACTTAAAACATTTAATTCTAATACTTTTGAAAAAAAAAGAATTATACTTTGACCCCCTTAACCGTTGACTCAATTTCACTTTATCTATTGAACTATTGCACTTTTTACATTGTCTTCCAAACTATTGATTTTACACCACCCTAAATGTAGACATCCGTCATCTTTTGGACAGAAAATATCAACATGTCTAAGAAAAAGTGTGAGACAACACATAGTTTGGGTGTAGAGGCGAAGCCACCCTTGGGCTGGGTTGGGCACATGTCCCGTCAATTTTTTTTCTTTTTTATATAAATATATATTTTTTAAAATAAAATTTAGACATTTAATTATGTCCACCCTAATATTATGTTCTAGCGATATCGATTTAAATAGACCCCTAATTAAATAATTGTTAATTTTTTGAACAATGTTATTGAGACTTAATGTAAGGACCAAATACATTGTAATATTAAGTCTAATAGTTAGTTGCAATATTTAATAAACTTTACTATCTATCCAATGATTACAAACTATTGAATCTCCACCAATTAAATATCAAATTAGGTACAACTAATATTATTGTTAACTTCTAGACACATTTCAGATATGGCTGAATATGTTTTGAATATAATGAGGTTATTTTATAAATTTTTAAAATTATTAAGTTATTTCGTTATCATATAAAAAAGTGTCGTTATTTAATAAATTATAGGATCATAAATAAAAAATTGTTATGGTTTTATATATAAAAGAAATATTATTGATAAAATTGATTTGTAACTCTTTTAAATAATAAAAGTAGTTTTAATTATTTTTTATTTGTTCAAGTTATGCCTATCGTTGTTTAATCTATTATGTTTACTGAACTTATAAGTATTAAATATAATTTCAATAAATATGAATTTATGAACTTCTATAATCAATGAAAAAAAAAATTAAAAGGTGTTAATGTGCCTATCCTAAAAAAATTTTCTGACTCTGCCCCTGTTTGGGGGCAAAAAAAAATAATTTTTCTCTCAAATTTGTAATAGACGTTAATAATTAGGATATTCTAAAACTAATAACATATATACTTGAACATGTAATATGATAAATATGATAGTTAAGGAGACAACATGAGAAAAGGGTAATATTTAACGGGGTTAGATTGTAATTTATCCTTTAAGTTGAGTAGGACAAAGTGCAATTTTTGAAATTTATTGCTTCCACAAAACAGATCTGATGTCTGGTGAAAAAAAAATTTCCAAGCAAAAAGAGGCAACACTTAAGGATGAGGCCAAAGGCCACAAAATCTCATCAAAAGAAAGAAATGGAAGACAACCACAAGCTAAAATCGATGTATCAACAAACACACCATGTGAAATTGAAGAAGAATCACCTCCATTCAGCTCGGAAACGTCAACGTTAACCGATGATTCGATAAAGTTCGAAGAAGACAAGGTTTTGAATGACGCAACCAAACAAGAAACAGATGAACATGGAAACAAATTTGACAATAATTCTTCTGCTTTTTATTCAAGTTTTTTGAATAAGAAGAGGAAGAAGAAGAGGAATAGTGTTAATGTGGAGAAGGAAAGTACTCCGGCGGGCTCGTCGACATCGTCGGAAAATTCTTCTTTCATGAGGAGTAAGAGTTATTCCAGTGGAGCTTCTCATATGTTTCGGAATTTGATTACATGTGGGGCTGTGGACACTAATGACTCGGCCATGGTGATGTTCAACCGCCGAAACAGAGCTTCTTTGAGTATTCCGACCGGTGAACGGTGTAGTAACTCGTCGGAGATTGTGAAGAGAGAAACGTTGGGTGGCTCTGAAAGGATCTTTGGGACTCCATGGAACCAACAGCAACATAGTGGCAGGTACTTTAGATTCAAATACATTACTTTGGTTAATTGATTGTTTCTGAAAATATTTTAAATTTTATTTTTTTGAATTTTTTTTAAATATGTCGATAATCAAATCGAAGTTTACGAGTTTGAGCTGAGATCGTCGAACTTGTTTTTCTTAACGATTTTAAAAAATTGTTTAAATTCAACTCGTTTAAAAAATGAGTCAAACTCCAGCCGAGTTCATGTAACTCGATTATTTTACATTTAAGCGAGCCTGCGTCCAACATTTTAGACTTATTTTTCGAAACAAATCTAAAAAATTATTCAAATTTAGTTTATTTAGAACACGAGTCGAGCTCGAGTCAAGTTCCATTTGAACCGAGTCCAAACTATTCGGCTCAATTATCAATCTTATCTTTNTGGTTCATTTAGAACACGAGTCGAGCTCGAGTCTAATCGTATTCGTGTCGAACTCGAGTCAAGTTCCATTTGAACCGAGTCCAAACTACTCGGCTCAATTATCAATCTTATCTTTAAGCTACATATTTATACAATTTTGAGCTACATATTTATACAATTTTGAGGATGAATTTTAGTGCAACGGTAAAACAATTTCATTATGGGTTTTTCATTCTTGGTGGCCCAACAGCCAACTAGGTCATGGGCCACCCTTGTGTCTCACAATACAGTCCATAGCAGACTATTTACCTTTCTGCCCACTAAAATTGACAGATTGGCCCATTAATAAGGCCCACAGAAGACCCATTAGGAGGTGAAACGACGAGCTATTTCAGAATTTACTAAATTCTTGACAAACTACGATCTAAATGTATCGATTATAAATGAAGTAAGTTCACGATCTAGATCATTAAAATATATGATCCTAAATTACACATGTAGTACAAATATAAATATATATTAATTAACTATATATATATTAATTTATAATTATATATTATTTTAGATAATAGAAAATTGAGCGCAAACAAAAGTTAAATGATAACTGACTTAGTGTTTATGAATATTGTATGATATATAATGTTACATAGTAGTGAAAATAATCTAGATAAGTCTTTCAAAACGAATTACGATCCAAAATACTTTATCAGCTAAGTCTACCCCCATTATTTGTGTAGTATTGCGTACCAAAACGACCCAAGATTCAAATAATATTAGATATGACCCCTCGACAATCCTTACATATCGTTAAAATTGTGTATATATGGTTCTCTTTAATCCAATAGAAGTGTGAGGTTACGAGCCTTTTGAACTGGGATTTTATATATTTATATGTAATAGATGTATTTAGAATGTATATATCGTAAATATATGAATGTGGTGCAGGAAAAGCTGTGATGGAGTGATGGATGCAAGGAAGAATAAGAAGAGTGAATTCAGCAACGAAAAAACTGCCAACCTTGTGAAAAGGCCAAATTGCTCGTAAGTACTGCAATTATTGCTAGCCAACCAATTCGTCCCTTTATTTTTATGGTTTTAGCGGATGTGCCACTATGACAAGAAATTTTTGTATGAGTTNGTGAAAAGGCCAAATTGCTCGTAAGTACTGCAATTATTGCTAGCCAACCAATTCGTCCCTTTATTTTTATGGTTTTAGCGGATGTGCCACTATGACAAGAAATTTTTGTATGAGTTTAACACGCACATAACAATTGACAAGTGGTGTACATAATCAATAAAATATTATGTATTCTTAATGAATGATAGACACTTATCGCTTNAGTGGTATACATAATCAATAAAATATTATGTATTCTTAATGAATGATAGACACTTATCGCTTTATTACAATTTTTATAAATAAAAACAACCTTTTTCGCCCCCACAAACTATTTTTGTGGCAATTTTTCATTGGGTGTGCACACCATATGGCACTGTCATCTGGTGTGTTAAACATATTCAAATTTTTATTGAATTATCTCCCTTGTTACATACTTAAATTGCACTATGCTCTTGCCAATAATATGATTCTATGAATTAGTAGTGTTTGGAGTTTCGTGTATTAGACAGGTATCAGTATGCAAACTATAATGAGGGTTGTAGCCCATTATAATTTGAACAGAATTCTTCTTGCATAGATATCAGTATGCAAACCCTTTCTGAACTTCTCATTTTTAGTAGAAACAAAATAGTGACTAAAACCACTTGCATATGTGATGCAGGCAGTGTGGGAAGCCATTCAAGCCAGAGAAACTGCCCACACATATGAAGTCCTGCAGGGGAATGAAAGCCTTATCCAAGGATGCAAGACCTGCTACTTCTGCTACCACAGCTGAGAAGACACCACAGACAACAATGAATTCTTCTCATCAGGACTCAGTTTCTGGCCATTACTTGACCACTAACTGAATGGTAGTCACTTCTTTAATGATTTTTCTTCCTGGATTCTTTGTGAAAGAGCTTTAATATTTTCATAATCTGTTGGTGTTTCTCAATGTAAAGTGACAAAGGGTAGCATAGGCAGAGATGGTCATGGAGGTACAAGATGTTGAATTTGCTTCTCTTTTCTTTACTGTTAGACATGAAGCCTTCAGAACTGAAACTTCAACCATCACCAGACCGAAAAAATGAAAGAAAAAAACAAGCACGTTTGGTTTGCATCTCAAAAAACAATATTCGAAAACTTTTTATGGGAAAAGTTTTAGAAAACTATTTTTGGTGTTTTTTTTATCGCATAACTTATTTGATTATATGATTCCAAAAATAGTTCTACGAAATAGAAAATATTAAAACTTGTTTGGATAGTAACCGAACAAACAATGAAAATAAAAATGCGGTGCTGGTGGTGGTGTTGTAGACTTGGTGATGGAAGTGTGGTAACGGTGGGAGTATGGTGGTGGTGGCGGTGATAGTGGTGGTGTTGTGTGGTGAACGTGGTGTTGTTGGTGGGAGTGTGGTGGTGTTAATGAAAGTGCGGTGGTGTTAATGGAACGGTCATGGTGGGTGGTGGTGGGAGTGTAAATGTGGTGGTGGTGGTGTTTTCTAAATTCCCAAAAATTGTTTCCAAAAATACACAAAACAATTTTAACTTGTCTGAATCTATCAAATTTTTGTTCTTAGTTTTCAAAAAACAAAAATAAAAAACAGTTGGTCAAACAACTATTCTTCTAAAAATTATTTTTGAAAACAGAAAACAGTTTCCATCACCTGACTTGCTGCAAAATGATTTTGGCATAGATGGTCTGTAATCTCAACACTACATTTCAAACTACAAATAAAAGAAAGGAAAATTTCATATATCAGGAATTCAGAGAAATATCAGAGGAAAATTTCATATATCAGGAATTCAGAGAAATATCAGGCAGAAGGGAGATAGAACATAAGGAACCACCTTCCCCTGTCCAGAATACACTTTCATGATAAAAGAGATACAAACTAAAGTCATTGGCATTTTACTGCTATCTTGGTTAATGGAAGTTAGAAACACATTTGGAACAATGGTAATGATGTTAGATGATTTCAGGTACATTTGCGACGAAAACTCTCCAACAACAGAGGTTTGTAACTGTATTGCAGTTTAGATCTGCAATTCATATGGATCAGTCCTAAATTATGTTCTCATCTAATGCTGTCAGTCTGTACCTCGTCTAACTACCTACGTGCAACAATGGTGGAGTCAACATGCTCCAGAAGAAATCCATACAACTTATTTTTCAAGCCTTTAATTTTCTCATTAACCGCATTTCCATTCCCAGATGAGTCATCCAACCACTGATTAACCCTTTTAAGTTGCCCAAGAAGGCCTGCAACTTCAGAACCTCCTTCCCCATTCCTCAATCCAAATCCCTTGTTCAAGGAATCCTCCAAATAATTCAAGAACCACGAGCGAGATGCTAAGAGCAGTTTCTCTGCCAAATTGGATGCCTCCCGTAATCCATTTCCCTTAGACCACTCTTCCCTTTCAATGTTTGAGTTTTTTGTGGTTGGAAGACGGCATCTAGAATTAGATGGTAACACCTTTGCACTTGAATTTGTTTTGGAAGCACCACGGTTGGTAGGACTTTGCTTGTTTTGAGGGGAATGGTTCTCGAACTCTATTTTCTTAGGGGTACTTTCTAAGACAACATAATGACATTTGTCACCATCCGAAACATCCCTCTTGTCTTCCCTTGCGAACAACCAAAACTTGGAAAGATCAGACTGCACCGCAGCTTGCAGCCACGATGTGGAATTTTTATTCACTGTATCTCTAAATGTTTCTGGCAGTGGAGACTGCGAGGCAAAAGCTTCAGGAAACCTGATGCTGAGCAATGCATCAATAACAGCTGCTGCTTTCTGTATACTCTGATGCAAGTCCAAAAATTGTTCAACTAGTGTTCCAGCGGAACCTTGCTGAAAAGACGTACAAAACTCTGCAAACATGCTGGATGTAGGAAAATAAATCATCTTCACTAGTAAACTAGAACAGAAACAAACAAAGGAAAAAAACATCTATTGTCTGTAAGCATTTAATGCAATGGTTACAACATGTATGCCGAGTACATGATCAGTTGTTTCAGAGAAACATATTGGCCAACAAAAATACGGAGAAGCATCGTTCTTGAAAAATGGAACATAAAATGTTTCCATGAGTTTTGTCTTGTTAAAGAGGACACAACAAGTTAGCATGATTTCAGTATGCCAAAGATGACAGAACACCTTACTAATTATTTTCTGACTATTTGAAGATAATGTTATAACATTGTTCCAGAAAAAATGATTTGTGTAATTGTGTCCCAACAGATTCCACAGGCCAAGAAACACGGNGATGACAGAACACCTTACTAATTATTTTCTGACTATTTGAAGATAATGTTATAACATCGTTCCAGAAAAAATGATTTGTGTAATTGTGTCCCAACAGATTCCACAGGCCAAGAAACACGGGCAGACTTGGGACACAGACTGGACGCCAACATGCACAGAAAGTCCTAAAAAATAGAGCACTGATGCGGCAAGGATGTGGCCAGATTACCACTCAAAGAGATTAGGTGCTAAAGGACACGTTGCATAACTTGGTATTGTCATCTCCAAGGCCACAAAATCGACTAGTTGATCTCCTTGAGGGCTATAAGCAACTCAATTGTTGCCCTGGCATGACATTTTTGCAACAACAAACTTCACAGTGAAAAATCACAGGGCTATAAGCTACACTACAACCTACTAAATGAAGTTCAACATCAAGACTGGAGGGGCTGAAAGTATAAAAATATAAATGGTCAACATGAATATTATGACAAGAAAAAGATGAAAGCCCCATGAACTCGACAATTGAAGAAATGTTAATCATACTGTAACTTTTACTTCTGTTATGTACCACAATGTATTAGAAGTGTGTAGTTAATCAGTGACAGAAAGGTGGCTAAGCCACTAAGGTATGATATGATAAGAGCAAAACTACCACTTTGCATACCCAATCATCGAGATTGTAACACCTGACAAGGAAGACCAACCACCTAAACATTGCCAAAATGCCATAATTACACTTCCAAAAACAAAGAATACAAAAGCCCTGTTAGCAGCCATGCTGAGTACACTCGTATTTTGACCTTTTAAAATGATCGTAAAACCAACCACGATTTACTGTAAAATATGCAGATACATTAAGAGAGAAACATGAATAGAAGATGAGTGTCACTCAAATAAAATCTTGCAGCGGAAGAGTGGCAAAAATTAGAATGACTATACCACTACACACACACAAACAGGGAGAGAATCAGTTGCATTAGTTGGATAATGTACAATGGAAATCAGTGACAAAGTCGGTGAAACAATTATGGTATTGGAGAATTGCATAATGACAAAACATACATTATAAACTCAAAAATGATTCAGGATACCAAACAACAGATGATATTGTGTTGAATCAAGTAAACATGTCAGGTAAAACCATATTTGCTTAAATATTGTAGTTTGTTGCATGGACAAGCATTACAACAACCACAGCAAAAACAAAGAAGACAATAAGAATATGAGAAGATCAACAGCATACCTCAGGCATCGAATGACACCCTCTGCAGCAGTTGCTTCTTCAAGTGCACTTACAGCAGTAAAAAACGCAACATTTCTATTGCATACAGTTTCCTGAAACACCACCATATTACAAAAATATCAAGATTTTGCTGTACTATATGGATTAACAAGATTTAGCAATAAATGTCTCTCATACCTTTCCAAGTTCCCTCATAGTAGTTGGAAGTGAATCCCAGGAAATCTTCAGGTCAGACCAAGTTCTTGAATTGATGGGAACCTTAATAAGATTACTCGGAATAGCAGCATCAACTGATGACTTCAAATCCTTTTTTACAGGCTTTATAAGCAATTTCTGAGGAACTATTACGTTCTTGTTTTTGAGGGGTGAAAAGCCACAACTTGGATGTTCCGGTGATGAATTCTTCTCAGAAGAAGCCTTCTTATTGGAAAGAACCTTCAAAAGAACAAAAAGAACAATTAACACAACCCCTNTGACTTCAAATCCTTTTTTACAGGCTTTATAAGCAATTTCTGAGGAACTATTACGTTCTTGTTTTTGAGGGGTGAAAAGCCACAACTTGGATGTTCCGGTGTTGAATTCTTCTCAGAAGAAGCCTTCTTATTGGAAAGAACCTTCAAAAGAACAAAAAGAACAATTAACACAACCCCCAAAAAGTCAAACACGAGATGCATATGAAGCATATTTACCAAAGCAAAATTAGTGGCAAACCATAGGTACAACACTTCATTCATTGTTTTGGTCAAGTAAGAAATCTACGGAAATCTATTAGAACCAAAATCTTTGGTAAATTAATCATAGACAACATTAGTTATCTCCTAATAATGAAAGAGTATATTAACTTCGAAGCCTCACAGCTTCNCATTCATTGTTTTGGTCAAGTAAGAAATCTACGGAAATCTATTAGAACCAAAATCTTCGGTAAATTAATCATAGACAACATTAGTTATCTCCTAATAATGAAAGAGTATATTAACTTCGAAGCCTCACAGCTTTATGTTTTTTTCCCTGACAGCTAACAAGGTCTCTTGCTTCTTGATGAATATGGAAATACTGGACAGAGTGTCTGAAGCATACCCTGACTGAAAACTCAAACTTCCAAAACGAAGGGGGAAAGTAGCAAGTGAGAGAGAGAGGGGTTTTGGGTGAGGANAACTTCGAAGCCTCACAGCTTCATGTTTTTTTCCCTGACAGCTAACAAGGTCTCTTGCTTCTTGATGAATATGGAAATACTGGACAGAGTGTCTGAAGCATACCCTGACTGAAAACTCAAACTTCCAAAACGAAGGGGGAAAGTAGCAAGTGAGAGAGAGGGGTTTTGGGTGAGGATGAGGATGAGGCTTATTTTTTTTCCAGAAGGGCTAAACTTTCAGCCATA